AAAAAAAAACATAACTTTTCATTTTCCTGCATCAGCAATTGCTTTCTATGATTTTTTTTAACCAAATTGGCAGCTAGGAATGGCTAGTGGTTTGGAAACTCTTTGTGGGCAAGCTTATGGAGCAAAACGATACAAAAAGCTTGGAATCCACACATACAGAGCTATTCTATCACTCATAATAGTCTGCCTTCCAATTTCTCTCCTTTGGATTTATATGGGGAAGCTTCTCTCACTCATAGGTCAAGATCCCCTAATATCCCAAGAGGCGGGCAAATATATAGCATGGATGATCCCTGCCCTCTTTGCCTATGGTACTGCTCAGCCTCTTATGAAGTTTTTTCAATCTCAGAGCTTAACTCTTCCTATGCTTTTGAGCTCATTCACAACGCTTTGCATCCACATTCCTTTGTGTTGGGCCATGGTGTTAAAAACTGTATTGGGCAATGTTGGGGCTGCGCTTTCTATAAGCATTTCTTATTGGATTAGTGTAGTGATTCTCGTGATGTACATCAAGTTCTCGGATTCAAAGTTTATGTGTTAGATATGTAAATACATAAGATTGTGTTGCATATGGGTCTTTTTTTTCAATTTATGTGTTAGATATGTAAATACAAAGTTCTTATTCAAAAAAAGAGATGATTGTTATATTATTCTTATAAACAATTTTACCAAACAGGGGTAGTATGGTCTTTTTTTCATAAACAGCTTCCCGACAGCTGGTTTCACGCAGCTACACCAAACAGAAAACCAGCTTTCCCGCAGCTGCTTCCTCACAGTTGCTGCCTGGGGCAGCAGCTGCAGCTGAAAAGCTGAGAAGCTACAGCTGCGCCAAACATAGCCATAATCTAAGAAAAATTGGATTTCATTATAGGCTAGAAAAATATTTAGTATTATAATAATTATTTTCTTTTAATTCAAATATCTTTTTAAGCATTTATCTTAGGCATCCCTTTCTAACTAAAAAAATAATAATAATGACTAGGATATTTCTCTACCATCAACATAATCGTTTTTCTAAACCATAGTTTAGTTACTTTGTACTTATGACTAAGAATAGTAAGAACAAAAATATGTTCTCTTAAGTTAAATACGCTTCTAAGTGATGTCCTTTAAATGTATGTTTTTACTACTCTTTTTATTTTATTCAAATGTATGGAATAACGTTAATAATGCTAAACATATTGAATAATGTTAATAATTTTTACATGTTCTTAAGTGAAACATTCTGTTCAAGATGACTTGAAGAATCTTTGTTTGAAATGAATAATACAAATCCTTAAGAAATAAACTCAATTTAATTGAAGAATTTAGTGGTTACTTTGATAAATACTAGATGCAGTTATCAACAAACATACGATGATGAAATGACAGTCATATTTTTTTCATTTCAGTGAACTTTCTTGATCTCGGATCTATGCATCAATTTATTTAATACATGAACATCTATCATTTTCAAGGGTTAGATAGACTCACATGCTTCTCTTTTTTGATTTTAAGTGAGATAGTATTTAGCTTTGGACTTCAGAAATTCTTGTGATCTCTTTTTTGGAGCTCTAGATTTCTTATTCTATAATGCTCTTTTGAATATATTCTTACTTATACATTGTCCTTTATTCGTTTACATCCATTAAATTGTTTTTCTATTTGCGTGCGTTGAGATTATGCCAGATAAATTTTGTTTTCTCTATGATTTATTCAAAGAATTACTTCTCTTATAATTAACACCAATGAGAGATTCCATCATCTCGTAGCATAAGTGAGCTAATTATGTTTAATATCATGTAAATTATTTTTCATAATAGATATTTTCTTAACCTCCATGGGGGACTAGATTTCTTAAGTATATTTTCTTAATAATAAACAATTATTTCTTATCAACGTGTGATCACCAGGTAATTAAGAGCATTCCATGGTAAATAAATCATGACTTAGGGTGTGTTTGGGGTGGTGGTGCGGCGGCCGTGTGGTGCCTCACCACAGTTTTTCTTATTTGGTAAAATTACGTTTTGTCTGCATTCTCAAAAAGTTGCAACTGAAAGCTATGATTTTCCACCAGACCTGACTACCCGCGGTGGCTGCTAGAAAGCTGTGGTCTAACTATTTCAAAAAAAGGAAATTTTTGTAATGGCCACCGCAACTTTTTGAACAATATTTTTTTCTTTAGCAGTTTCATAACTACTTATTCAAACAACTGTAGATGCCTCAAACTGGCCATTATTCTCATAATTTTCTTAATCTAAATGCATTTTATAATTATTTGCAATATATGCAAGCTAATTTTTGGTAATGCTCAACATTTATAACATTTCAAAAAAAGAATTATCAATTTTCCATAAAAGCATTGCTTTCATGCATAAGTTTTTTTTTTTTTTGAAATATCATATTTAACATTGCTATTGATGGATCCCAAGCCCCAACATGAAATGTGGATGGCTGAATTAGGTAGTTGACAGTCAGTGTAAAATTTGTTGAAAAATTATAACATGAATTTTTTAAATCCATGTGTAAATGCTAGGGTATCCCCTGAAAACGACGCGTTGTATGACTTGAATATAGTGAAAAATGTGCAAGGGTCGTCACACCAACGCTTGGGTGTAGTGTTTAATAAGAAAGGGTTCCCACATTATGGATTGATGAGGGTAAAGAAGTTAGTCTATGAAACTGATATTAGGATATAATCTTGAAATATAGGTACTCTCAAAGGTAAACTATTTGAATTAGTTGATATTATGGTTCATAGGAAGATAAAAATCTTATGCATTCTAGAAACTAAATGGGTTGGAGAAAATGCTAAGGGGATTGATAACTTACATTTTATATTTTGGTCATTAAGTATGACTAACACTAAAAATAATACAAGTGTAATTATAGATAAGAGTTTTATAGATAATGTTGTAAAAATTAGTAGAATTGGAGATCACAGAATTATAGCCCTTAAGATTGTTGTTGATACTAAGCTTTTTAATTTTATAAATTCTTTTTCTCCTTAAGTAGGTTTAGATATAAGTTATAAAGAAAATTTATGGAATGACCTACAAGAATTAATACAAATGATACTTATGGAAGAAGGAATTTCTATTGGAAGAGATTTAAATGAACATGTTGGTAGAGAGGTAGAATATTTTAGAAATATTTATGGTGGCTATAGTTTGTAAGTGATTAATGAAGAAGGTGAAGACATATTAGATTTTATTTTAGCATATGATTTTGTTATTGCTAATAATTTATTGAAGAAAAAATAATAAGCACATTTTTACTTATCAGAATTAATCTAATAAAACACAAATTGATTATTTTCTTATAACAAGAAGATATCATCGAGAATGTAAGGATTATAAGGGCATTCAAGTGAGAATTAAAATGCTCAACATTAATTATTAGTTCTGGATTTTAAGATGAAGAGTTGTAAGAAAAAGAATGTTAGGAATCATTGTCATAGAATTAGTTGAGGGCACCTAAAAGACACCAAATAAATTGTTTTTATTAATAAACTTCAAGATTTCAAGATTTGGAATGTTCATGAAGAAGCAAATGCTATGAGGGATAAAGTAAAAAAAATATTATTAAACAAGTGGCAAAACATGCATTGGGAGAATCAAAAGGAAAATTTTCTATAAATAAAAATAATTGGTGGTGGAATAATAAAGAGCAAGAAAAGATAAAATATTAGAAGTTGTGTTATGAAAATAAATTAAAAAGTAAAAGCTTAGAGAACTGTAAAATATAGAGTGACCAGTAGAGAGTCCAAGTGAACAATTTGTGATGCCAAAAATTCTACTTTTGGAAATCTTCATAATAGATTATACACTAAAGCGGTCAAAAATATATGTACAAATTAACCAACCAAATAGAAAAAGAAAGTAAGAATTTAACTCAATTTTATTAAAGATGAAAATCAAAAAGTTTTTTTCTTAGAAGAAAATATCCCACATAAGCGGGCGAGCTATTTCGATAAACCATTCAATGAAGTTTCTGAAAATACAATCAACCTTAGCAATCTTAATATCTTTGATAATAATAAAATATTTTATTTTTATTGTCATCTTTGTAAAAAAGAGTCGCAGAAGCTTTAATGAAAACTAAATGTGAAAAATCAGTAAGATCTGATGATATCTCAATTGAAGTGTGGAAATATTTAAGAGATTTATGAGTTCCTTGGCTTACTAAACTCTTTAATTTTATTTTAAGAAAAAAAGATACTTGAGGAGTGGAGGAAGAGTATTTTTGTCTTCATTTTTAAGAGTAAAGGGGATGTGCAAAAGTGTAAAAATTATAGAGAAAATAAGTTGATGTGTCTTGCTTTAAGATTATGGGAGAGGGTAATTGAACATAGGTTAAGATGTGTTACAAAGATTTCTAATAATCAATTTAGATTTATGTCAGACAGGTCTACTATGGAAGCTATACATTTATTGAGAGGTTTGATGAAGAAGTATAGAGAAACTAAGTAGGATCTACATATGATTTTTATTGGTTTAGAAAAAGCTTATTATAAAGCTTCAAGAGAAATCCTTTGGAGAGTTCTGGAGAAGGTAGATGTTGATATAAATTATATTCAAGTCATCAAAGATATGTATACTAGAGCTGTTATTTGTATTCGAACAGAAGGAAGATTGACCTAATATTTTCTTATTTTAGTTGGATTACATTTGGGATCGGCTTTAAGCCCGTATCTTTACTTATGGATGCTCTTACAGACATTTATAGGAGGATGTAACTTGGTGCATATTTTTCATTGAAAATATCCTTCTTGTGGACAAAATAGAAGAAAGAGTTCAGGAAAAATTTAAATTATGGAGGTCTACATTGGATTTAAGAAGCTTTCATTAGAGTAGAACTAAAATTGAAAAAATGGAATGTAATTTTAGTAATAGCAGCTCTAATGGTAGAATTGTAATTATGGACGATCAAATCATTAAAATTTGAGAAAGTCTTAGACATCTCGAGTCTATTGTTCAAAGTAATGGTTATATAGATGGGGATGTTATTAGTAGAATTCAAGTTGGTTGGTTGAAGTGGAGGAAAGCGTTTGGTCTATTGTGTAATAGAAAGAACCGCTTAGTTTGAAAGAAAATTTTTATAAGATAGTGGTGGGACCTGCTTTACTCTATGATGTAGAATGTTGGCCTTTAAAAGAGAAGCATAAAATAAAGTTAAGTGTTGCCAAGATGAGAATGCTTAAGATGAGAATGCTTAGATAGATGGATGAGTGGCTTGACGCTTAGAGACAAAATGCAAAATTAATATATCTGTGATAGGGTAATTGGTGTAGCTCCAGTGGTAGACAAACTTAGAGAGAATCTTCTTAGATGGTTTTGCCACATTAAACGTCGACCATCTAATGATCCGATTAGGAGAGTATATGTATAGTTTCAACTTATGTTCAGAAATGCAGAGGTAAACATAGAAATACTTGGGCATATTGTATAAAAAACAATCTTAATTTATTGGAATTAAATAAAGATATGACACTCAATAGGACACAATCGAGAAAAAGGATTCATGTGGCCGACCCCACTTAGTGGGATAAAGTTTTGCTGT